CTCGGCAGCGGCAGACGACAAGACAGGCGGCAAACGGCCATAAGCCAAAAGGGGGCCAAGGTCAAAGAGTGGCAAACTTGAGATGGGACACCGTGTGTTTCGAAGACGAAACAAAATGCGAGACGTCGGAGAGAGAGAGAGATTTAGAGAGAGAGATTTAGAGAGAGAGAGAGAGAGGGAGATTTAGAGAGAGAGATTTAGAGAGAGAGATTTAGAGAGAGAGATGTAGAGAGGGAGAGAGATTTAAAGAGAGACAGAGAGACAGGGAGAGAGGGAGAGAGACAGTGACAGAGACAGAGAGACAGTGACAGACAGTGACAGAGCAGAGAGCTAAGAGGCAGAGAGACAAAGAGATAGAGACAGAGTGAGATAGGGTGAAACAAGGGATTTCGAAGCGGCGAGACAACATGACAGGTGATGACTGAGGAGACATAGAGTCGAGAACCGCTGCGAGACACGATGGTGCCGGGCGCAGCAAAGAACAGATGCAGTGGCGCATAGCGTGCAAGCACAAACATTGACATCCGACAAAGAAACCCTCCACGCTCTTCTTCCCTCAATCGCTCTCTCACCCCCTTCGGTTTTTTTTTTTAAGGGGTGTGTGTGGGGGGAGTGTAGGGGTTTGCTTTACAATGTCGTCCTGGTTAATATGACGGGATGGGGCAGCCCTTGTACGCCTGAATTGATGAATGGTGGCAGTGCCTCTTTTGACTTTCCTTCGCGAGCTATCATTCTTCCGGCTGAAACTGGTCAGTGGCCGACGAGATGAACGACAGGAGCTTTGGACACGCTCAGCGTCTGACGAGGCCATGTTTCAGGGGGCGGGCGACAGGCAGGGTCGTCCACCGTCCCTCCCACGTTGGCCCGAAGCGACATCCTCGCAAAGCTCTCAGGTTTCGGGGAATTATTAGGGGGTTTCTGGGTCGACCCGCCCCTGCCGTGGCGCCGGATGCTCGGGACGTCAGGCGTCGAGATGTGTGGCGAAACGCCGCACCCCAGATGGAAGAGCTGACTGGGGTCAGGGCTCGACCACCTCCACAAAACTGCCCCACCCACAAAAACAATGCACGAAGCGGTGTATGTGGGTCTTGGTACTGAGGCCACCCATGGGGTCATGGCTGTTGGTGTCAAGCTGTTGTCGTGTTGGGCTGTGGGGCGCGAGTAATCCGCTTTAACTCAACGGTATGGGGTGGTTGTGGGCATGATAAGCCTTCGAGCTTATCTAGTCGTCGTAGCGTTGACGCGCTTACCCACAGCCCCCTTTGAGTGCAGAATTAAAAGGGGGTGACGCAGATGGCGTCACGGACAAAGTAGGAAGGGTGAGCATGAGGTCCGGTTTGGAAAATGATTCATGGGATATGGCAGCGGGGGGCAGACGGGGGAGGGGGGATTGAGGCAGGGGGCGGCAAAGGGAGCAGTGGAGGCAGGAGGTGAAGAGATGCTCTGAAGCTTGTTGCTGACGGCTCTGGTTACGCTCAACAACATGCACGTTGTGCTCGTGCACAGCCCCACAGCCGGAACAGGAAATTGTCACTTTGTTCGCGTTCTGTTGAAGCTGCTACCACGTGATACTGTTGCGGGAGCCAATGTGGAGCCGTTACGTTGTCTGACAAATGTGAATAGATTTACGCATGTTTTCCATCCGGGATCGATTCACCAGCTTGCACCATGTGTCGACGTCATTTGTTCCTTCAAGGCAGTTCCACGTTGACAAGTGGCCAACACCAAGCCCCCTCCATTCTCAACTACCACCCACATGACACCTTGTGAATAGACTCCTCTAATGTAAAATACCACCCCAGCACATGTAGACCCCACTGACGTTTCGCCCCTCTCTGACGTAAGAGAGAGAGAGAGTTTGAGAGAGAGAGTAAGAGAGAGAAGAGAGAGAGAAGAGAGAGCGAGAGAGAAGAGAAAGAGAGAAGAGAGAAAGAGAGAGAAGAGAGAGAGAGAGAGAGGCAGGCTCTTTGATATTTTCTTCTTCTTCCTTCTTCTTCTTCTTCTTCTTCTTCTTCTTCTTTCTTTTGTGTTTTTTGTTTTGTTTTTTGGTTTTTGCTTTTGGGCTGGCTTTGCTGCCTTGAAGATTTGGCAGCCGGCTGCCGTTTTGCTCGACAGAGCAAACGTGCTTCTTGCACCAGCCCAACATTGACACGCAAACGCATTTGATTGCATTTGTTTGAGCATCGCACTCCGTTGCCTTCACCTTCAAAATTTCTGTTTTATATCTTTAAGTTTGCATAATATCCAGCCCGTATTTTTGTTTGCCCGTTTATGAATGGCAGCGACCGTCGTCAAGCCCCGCCCTTTCAATCCCTTGGCGGCCTTGTTTCTCCCGTGTTAGCTTTGCCCCGAATGTTTACATAGCTTGCCAGCCTCTTGGCGCTGTTGTTGTTCTGAAGAAGATTTACCCTTTCTTGTATCGCAAAGAAGAAGGCGATACATTGAAGAAATAATAATACAAAGAAGAAGAATCCCCCTCTCCCCGTCTTGTTGCTCCGTCGACCAAGGCCCCCTTGCCTGGTCGCCGTCCCGCTTCAATACATTTCGAGGTCACCTTAGCTGGTTGCCCTCGTGACTCGCGTTTGTTCTCTTGATTGAGCTACACATTCGCTTCCTTGACATTTCCAAGGGTTTGCCCTTGACGAACTCGTCGACAAGGCTTTTTTTTTTCCAACGCAACACAACGTTACGCTTTTTGTTGCTTTTGTTGCGAACAATTTTCTTGAGCCCCTTTGTCCAAATCGCCCCCAACCTTCTCCTCTCGACCCCTGGAAACGGAGCTGCACGGCCATCAACAACTCGTTCTCGCCGCCACCGCCGCCCTTGCGCCAGCAACATGGTCAACTAAAGAAGTATCATTGCCAATTTGCCCTTTTGTAGCTGCTGCTGCTGCCGCCATTGCCCCAACGTGTTCTGTCGATCCCCTGTACCTTGATCCCGCCATCATGCGTGGTATGTCTTCGTTGTGCCGCGCTCGTCCGTGTCGGGCAAATCATCCGCCCGTTCAGGTGCAGGGTGGTTTACCAATGCCTTAGTCGCTCTTCAAACCTGGCCTCACCATTGGCTCTCCTGCTTTACTGTCTCTGCTTGTGCGTGCTTCAGCTGTCATGCCGTCTTTTGCATCAGTCGTGGCTGGCCGCGACGGCGAGGTCTGTGTTCCTGCCGAAGTATCCAAGTTTGAGCCCATGCCCGACCTGATCCACGTGGCCGGTGCAAGTGCCTTGCCTGGCCCTGTCCTCGCAGCTCCAGCCCCCAGCCTGTCCACCGGCCCCACCTTTTGCAATGTCCTTGAAACTCCCGCCCCCGTGGTCGCTCAGCAGCGAATCCCGCCTGCCCGTCATGCGGGACCCTCCTCCATGCCACCGCAAAACAACATCCCCGAGCCGGGCATCATGGCCATGGTCCCAAGCCACACTCCTAGTCGCTCTTCCCATGAACTTGAAGACGTGGCTCGTCTTGCCCTGCTCAAAGAGCAGCTAGCCGCGGTCCCCACCGACGATATGCTCACCGGTGTGGCCATGCTCATGGATCAGCTGGCTCTCAGCACTCAAGCCAATCCCTTTATTCCTACAAAGTTTGATGCACCGGCCCCACTCAACGCCCCCCTGAGTGTCTTTATCAGCCAGATTGTCAACTACCGCCTTTGCTCCCGCGAATGCACTGTTTTGGCTCTGGTATACGGACAACGCCTCTTGCAGCGTTACCCTTCGCTGGTCATTGACAGCCGCAACGTACATCGCATCTTCCTCATCGCCATTATGCTGGCCTCCAAGTTGATTGATGATCGCTATTGTCGCAACACGTACTATGCTGCCGTGGGTGGTCTCACCGTGGCCGATCTGAATCGCCTCGAGATGGAGTTTTGCTTTCTCATGGGATTTGACCTTTGTGTCTCTCTGGATGAGTTTCGCGAGGTCTGTCAGACTTTTATGTGGCGCCTGCAGCAACATCAGCTTGTCAATTGCCGCATTCCCCGGGAAGTTCCCGGCGGTATCCCATCACCCCCGGGTCTCGACTTGCTCGGTGCTACCACGACCGGTGATTATGTCCCGTGTCCCATGCCGGTACCCCTCAAGACTATGGCCTCTTCCTTGCAACCCTCGGGCTGGGGCAATCTTCTCGTGGATGATGCTGGCTACCCACAGACAGATGTCGACAGCTCCCGTCAGCATTTTCCCCTTTACCAACCACACCCACTCCAGCAAGTTCAGCAACAGCCACAACAGCCTCAACAGCCACAACAACAATCATTGCTTGTACCCTTGATGGGACACGTTTTGGCGCGCTCGTCCTGCACGTGGCCCACACCTGCGTTGATGCGCGACCCATACGGTGGTGCCCCGCGCATGGCCGTTGTCGGCGCTTCGGCCGTACCCCCTTTGCTGGCAACTGCACCGGGATCAGTGGCCCGCATTCCTCCTTCCAGTGTGTCTTTGCACCAAGCCTGGGTTCCGGTCAACGGCTGGCACGTTGCCCCACAAGCCATGGTGGGCTGTCCCTTGCCAACGGCCTAAGGGTTGGAGTTTGTTCTCCGATGCCCCCCTTTTTCCTTTGTGGTTGAGTGCCCCAGCGTTTATCGACCCTTGTGGATAGCATCCTTGTCTTAAATGAGTGTTTGTTGTTGTGTTTACGTCTGCGAAATCGGTTTCGCGGCTAGTGTGCTCGAGTCACGTGGGGCTCTCTCTCCCTCTTGTCTGGGTGCATCATCTTTCACGATGGTGCCCACCTCTTTTCCTGATGTTCATAACTGTGCACCATCGTGTTCTTATATATATCGCATTTTTGCCCAGACATTTGCATCATCTCCTTTGCTGTTCAAGGAGTGTCTATTGTTTCCAACTCAGCCGCTTGTGGCTAAATTGCGTCGTATTCATCGACAACGCTTTTTTTTTTTTTTTTTTTTTTTTTTCATCTTTTTTTTTTCCCCCCCTTTCAAATGCCTCTTTTTTTTTTTCCGCTTGACTGTTTCCATTCACTTCAGTGTGAGTATATTGCTTTGGGCACTTGTCGTGTCACTTGGCAGTATTCCGCTGCCTTGATGCATTCTCACCTTTTGGGGAGATGGTTTCATCCTTTTTCTTGTTATTCTGCTGATGTACAAAGAATTAACAAGTCAATCTGAAAGTCATCTTATCACCACATACATACATGATGCGGCTTTTCAATTTCAGAAACGGCCATGGGCTGTGTCAGACACACGGCAATGATGTAAGTCAGTTAAAACCATGTCCTCAGAAGGAGCTGGGATGGAGGCAGATGGGCTGAATCCGAGCGCTTAGCACTGGGAGTCACCCGGGCATCGCAGCTTCCGCGTGGCGTATGCTGGCAGGGTGATGCAAGAGCGGGGTCTTGCTTAGACGGATTCAAATTCAGACTGCCAACGCTTGTATCGGTCCTGTAGACCTGACGCCGATGGCTTGGTGGTAGCGATGGCTGCCAGCACATCCTCGGTCACAACGGGGTCAAGGGTAGCATTTCGCAGCGGCTCGGCGTTGCCTGACTCCAACATATCAAAAATCTTTCGCACGGGTCGCATGGCCGCTTCCTTGCATACCAATCGAATGTCCGATCCAGAATAACTATGCAGCGACGGAGGAAAGACCAACCTGACGTGAGACACTCTTTTCAAAGGCAGAAGTGCAAACACACAAACATTTTCGCACAGATACATGAACGGACAGACACAAAGGCATGCGCATTTTCATACCCCTCTGTGGCCTGTGCAGCACGGGCATATTCCACATCAGCTCGCAGCATGACACCATCCTCCTCATCCGTCACGGTGACATCAGGCAGATGATGCCGGAACATGGCCTCGCGTGCGCTCTGGGTCGGTAGGTCGACCAGAATACGTTTTTCCAGTCGCCGCAGCATGGCCGGATCCAGTTCCCAGGGTAGGTTCGAAGCACCAAGCACGAAAACCAGATCATCGCTCTTGCTAAGTCCGTCCATTTGCATGAGAAGCTCTGTTTTCATGCGCCGGCTGCCCTCGTGATCGCTCGAGCCACCTGCGGTCGAGCAAAAGCCAAGGAGGCAAACACGCGTGAGCAACACGCGCGAGCAACACGCGCGAGCACGATCAAGATGCCAGGAGATGTGGCGACCGTGCAGGCGGCGCTTGCCTTCGCCACCATCACGGGTGGACATGATCGAGTCCAGCTCATCCAGGAAAATGGTCGAGGGGGCATGGTACCTTGCGAGTTCAAAAAGAACGCGCACCTGTGGACAACAAATCAGAGACGAGAACATCAAGTATTCCGTGCCTGTTTGGCACGCCTTGAGGCGTTGCGAGCGAAGCGACATACCAGTTTTTCCGAGTCGCCGCGCCATTTGCTAACAATGGAAGAAGATGAAATGTTGAAAAAGGTAGTCTGGCATTCAGTGGCAATGGCCTTGGCCAGCATGGTTTTGCCGGTTCCCGGGGGGCCATAAAGCAACAGGCCTTTCCATGGGGACAGGATGCCGCGAAAGAGTTGCGGGTATCGAATGGGATAAACGACGGCTTCCTTGACCAGCTTGCACGCCTTGTCCAATCCAATAATGTCGGTCCACCTTACGTTGGGATTTTGGGAGTAGATATCTCGGCTAATAACGTTGGCCAGGTCGCGCATTTGACCCGTGTAGCCAAAGCCAGCGATTGGCTTCAGTAGTTTGTCGTCATGGTGGTTGTAACCATCAAGAGCTTCACGTGTAGCGTGTTGAACGGCATCTGCCAGCTGAGACTTGACATCAATCACCTAAACGGGTTCACAGGCACGTCGGCCACCGGATAGAAACGTAAGTGGCCCCTGCAATCTCTTTTTCAGTGTGCAGCACCCAGGCCCAGAGCTTTGCAGGTGTGGAAGGTTGCTACCAGTGAGCTGGATTGTGTGTGTGTGTGTGTGTGTGTGTGTGTGTGTGTGTGTGTGCGGACACGAAGAAGGTCTCTCTCTACCTGAGGGCGACTCTTGGTTCCGGCTCGACCACCCGCCGGTTGGGCGACGGAGGTGGCCTGGACGGCCAGGTCCAGGTCTGGTAATATGCCATTGTCGGAGCCGCCCGTGGCATCTGGTGTGCGAACGGGGCGACCTCCACTACGGCGGGTGCTAGGAGGCAATGGTTTGACACCGTTGGCAGCGGAGGCAAGGGTGGCGCCGGCACCATTGCCACTGCTGTTGCCTTGGCGTCGCATGGTTGATTCTGGACGCCGACGTCCCCCGCCGCCGCTGCCACCCGATCCCGCACCACTGCCCGACCCGATGCCGGGAGGGCTCTCAACGCGAGGTAGAGATGGTCCGCCTCCAGTTGATCCAGCTCCAGTCGAGGCTGGCGAAGCAGACTGACGCATTTTATTGGCGGCCTTTTTGGCCTGAAGCCGACCCGGTCGCAGCTCTGCGCTGGTTGGGGCTTGCTTCTTGATGAGTTTTGGGGCACGGCCAAACTTAATCTTGTAAAAGGCTTCAAACTCTTGGACAATGCTAATGAGGTCGATGTTGTCACAGACGGTAAACCGCCCCGAGCTCACACCGGCCTCGGCCTCGAGCGCAGCGGCCGTTTCCACATAGCTGTGCATTTGCAGGTGATGAAGCATGAGCACGATGATGTTCCGCTTCAGCGTCTCTGTCCGTGCCTCCTCGGCCAGGCGTGCCTCATTGGCTGTTTTGATCTTGATGTAGCTCAGCTCTTCCGTCATGACGCCGGTCGTCTTGCTTCCAAACCCCGCCACCAGCACAACACGCTCCCGGGCCAGATATGCCAAGTCGCTAGAGCAGGAAAAAAAAACCCCCCCAAAACGGAAGAGATATCGATGAAAGATGACGCTATCCTTGTATTTTTCGCACAGGTATAGGGGATGGGTGTGAAGCGCAGTCCAAGCGCAGTCTGAGCGCAGTCCAAGCGCAGTCTGAGCGCAGTCCAAGCGCAGTCAAGTCAAGAGCGTGGTCGAGAGAGGCGAGCGCCGCAAGTGATCAGCTCTCTCTCGCTCTCTCTCTCTCTCTCTCAAGCTCTCTCTCTGTCCCTCTCTCTCTCTCTCTCTCTCTCTCAAGCTCTCTCTCTCTCTCTCTCTCTCTCTCTCTCTCTCAAGCTCTCTCTCTCTCTCTCAAGCTCTCTCTCTCTCTCTCAAGCTCTCTCTCTCTCTCTCAAGCTCTCTCTCAAGCTCTCTCTCTCTCAAGCTCTCTCTCGTTGTCAACGACGCTTCAAGTATTTTGTCTGACATTTATCTAATTTATCTGACATCTGAGTGGTGATCCAGCAAAGTCGCACTTATGGTAGCAAAATATTGATCAACTTACTCGAAATAAAGACTTATAGAAGATTTATTAATGTTTGTAATCCTGGTTTATGTATTAATATGTGGACTTGATGATCGGTAAATCAAAGAAGTTGTGGTGAAGTTCTGTATTTATTGCACCTTGCAAGGTGAGTGACATGGCACGGGCTCCACTGCGTGTGTGTGTGTGTGTGTGTGTGTGTGTGTGTGTGTGTGTGTGTGTGTGTGTGCCGGCAGCTCGCTCGCTCGGACCAGACCTTGGATCCCTTCTCGAGCTTTGGGTGGCACGATGCTGGTGGGGCAGTGTGTGTGTGTGTGTGTGTGTGTGTGAGGGGGAGGGAGAGAGCGGGGCAAGGATAGAAGAGGGAAAAGTGCCAAAGGGTGGCGTCGTGAGGTGAGCTGGGAAATTACTTGACGTGGACTGCAACAGTGGATGCGTTCATGACGGCACATGACGCCAACCTGCTGCTGCTGCTGCTGCTGCTGCTGCTGCTGCTGCGTTCAGGGTGTGAAGGTCCTCACTCTCCTTTGAGCCAGTTTTCCGCAGACTGGCAATCGGGCGGTCGAGGCTGTTTGATTGTACCTCTTTCCTTTTCCTTTTCCTTTTTTTTTTTGTGCTTGTGCCACCTCATTGGCTGGGCTGGTTGCGCTTGCCAGAGTTGGCCGCCATCATGTTCACGGGCATCATTGAAGAGATCACTGACCTCCAATTCGATCAGGGTTCGTTCGTCGTCTGGTTTGGCTCCAACTAGGCGGGAAGGTCGTCCTGCTCCAGCTCATAATGCCCCAATGCACGTGCTGCAGAGGTCACTTTGTGGGATGGCAGTCAAGGTCAAGGCACCGTTTTAACGGTGCGCTGCCAGCGGGCGCTGGAGGGCGCCTATCTGGGCTGCAGCATTGCCGTGAATGGTGTCTGCCTCACGGTTGTGACCATGAACCCCGAGGCCGAAGGTAGTGCCGCTGGCACCTTTGTCGTCAACCTGGCTCCTGAAACACTGCGCCGCTCCAATTTGGCCCAGCTGCGCATGGGTGACGGTGTCAACCTTGAGCGAGCCATGTTGGCGACCGATCGTAATAGTGGACACATGGTGCAGGGCCATGTCGATGCTACGGGCCGCGTCGTACGCCGCTATCGCGAGGGAGACTCGTTGTGGATCCATGTGCAAACCGACGCCCATCTTATTGCCCACATCGTTGAAAAGGGGTTCATCGCCGTGGATGGCACTTCTCTCACCGTCTGCGAGGTCGACCGTTCTGCCCACACATTCTCGTTCATGCTCATCCCGCACACACAAAGTGCCGTGGTCATTCCACGTCGACAAATTGGCCACGAAGTCAACCTAGAGGTGGACGTCGTTGCCAAGTATGTGGCGGCCAGTATGCAGGGCTTTGAGGCTCGCCTAGCAGCCCTGGAGCTGGCTCGCGGTGCCGATTCCACGACTCCCAACCCCGCCGCGACAGCAGCTACTACCCCGGCCGCCCCTCAGACGCACCAGTCAGTGATTCCAGGGATGACTGCAGTCACGGCCATGCAAACATCCGCCACGGGTGACGAGGAAATCCAGGAGATTCAGCGCCAGGGCAAGACTGTTCATGGTGAAGGCCTGTCTGTACCCGACCTGCCGCGCGAGCTCGCTCAACATTGCCGCATTGGCGTGGTGTACACTTGCTGGCATCCGGAGCTCATTAACGCCCTCCGCGATAACACGCGCGAGCAGCTCGTTGCCAAAGGCGTGCTTCCAGAGAACATTGTTGAGGCAGGTTCATGTTTCGTCGCCTTGTCCGTGCTCGCGCCTGCCCTTGCTGTGCGACATGTATTCATGTTCACTTTGCTGTAGATGGCCTGCCCAGGGTCGTATGAGCTCCCGTACGCCGCCCGTTGTCTCAAACATAAGACCTCGGGGCTGTCCGCCATCATCTGCATCGGCATCCTCATCAAGGGCGGAACCATTCATATGGAGGTGCGTGTTCCATGAAGCTCTCGGTGCATGAAGACATCACCGCTTCTGATACACGTGAAAATGTGTGCTTTGTCTTTGTTTCTGCTTGGATAGGTCATTGCTAATGCGGTCAGCTCGCAAATCATGGAGCTGCAGTTTCAGCTCAAAATACCGGTTATCTTCGGCGTCCTCACAGTCATGAGCCTTGAGCAAGCAGCAGAACGTGCACACAGCTCGCTCGGTGCCTCGTGGGCCAACTCAGCGCTGGCCATGGTCAACATCGATCAAGAGGTGCGTCTTAGACTCGCGTCCGCGGAGCAAATCAGGAGGAATCGTGAGGTCCAATAGCGGACGCCAGGATAATTGAGAGACGTGTGAGTTGAAACGTAGAGCTTGGTAAATGCTGCGCGCCTGATGGGGGGACAGAGTAGAAAACATTTCTTGTCGATTACAAAGAAAATATCAACGAGAGTCTAGAAAAGAGCACCCTGTCCTCAAGTGCCAAGAACGGCAAAGCGACAGGCCAGCCATGACTCATCACGGGCGGATACAACATGGAAACACCAGGCAAAGCGCCCCGCCCTAGGCAAACAGTGGTAAAAAAATCGTGGCGGGTCGCGCGGCGGCCCATGCCAACGACGAGCCAAGCGAGGCCTGGATGAGAACCTCGTGCCCGTGGGGTAGAGAAGGCATGCTTCTAACATCTATTTGGCCTCGCTCGTGGCTGATGGGCCTAGTGCTTGGCGGATGAGGGCCTTGCGATCATCGGAGAGGTTGCGGGGAAACTCGGTGTGAAACTCCAAAACCAGGTTGCCGCGCTGGCCTGGCAACTTGGTAATGGGCATACCCTCGCCTGCCACCACCTTTTGAAAGCCGGGTTTGATCACGTCATTGATGGGAATGCTCAACTTGCGGCCATCTGAAGAACACGCAAGCATGAGAAAAGGTGGGCATCAGTCTTGTCCTAATCACAGCGAACAAGTGTCGGTGGGGTCAAGGCACGATGCGAAACCATACCTAGCGTCAAGAGTTCGACAATGCAGCCACAGAGGGCTTCAACTAGGGTGATATGGGTAGTGTGCACCAGATCGTTGCCGCGGCGCTTGAAGCGGGGATGGTCCAGGTACTTGATCACAAAGACGACATCAGCTGGGATGTTGTTGGGTCCTTGATCGCCTTCCTTGGGGAAGGTGATCTTGGTGCCCTCACGCCACCCAGGCTTGACCTTGACCGTCAAGATCTTTTCCTTGGTCAGTGTAGTATGTCCATCGTCGTTCAGTACCTGTGATGGTCCAGATGGATTGACAAGACGAGACGAGGCAAGGCAAGCAGCACCATTCATGATCAGTACTGACGCCGTGGCCATTGGATGGGAGAAAAAAAAAAAAAAACAGGGCACGAGACATACCGTGCGAGAGATGCGCATTTTCTTGACGCAGCCACGATAGACTTCTTCCATGGTCAAATACAACGGTTGCTCGATGGCGGGGTCCTGTTTGCGGTGCAGCTGCTGTGCTAGGCTCGGCTTGGGCCCAAAGCCAAACTCATCATTGGGAGCAAACATATCTGCAAAGCCAGCCAAGCCCAAGTGAGAAGAGAAAGAAGAAAACATGCGGGGCAGTCCCCTGTGCAAACAACGCCAATACCAGACATCTGTGCGACTGGCTGGGAGGTCTCGTCATGGGTGGTTCTTAAACAAACAATGTACCTTGATAGGGATTGTCGGTGCCGAAGAACTCGCGAAAGACGGCATCGGCATCTCCATGAAACACATAGGGCTCAGTAAAGCCCTCGTAGCCTTGCGGGGCGCCATCACGGAGTCCTTCTTCGCCAAAGTTGTCAAAGACAGCCCGCAGCTTGGCTACAAAGTGAGGCGTCAGAGGTCAGCGGTTGAATGCAGTGCTGCTTGCTATCATCTCCCTGTGGTTTTGGTCAAGTTGCATTATTATCTCGATGCGCAAGCCATACCTGAACTGAGCACGACATAGGCTTCTGCCACTTGCTGGAATTTGGACGGTGCGTCACCGCTCGGGTTGCGATCTGGATGGTACTCGAGCGCCAGTCGTCGATACCTGCGTCCCACACGGAACAGCAATGAGAACGTCGCCAAAGACAGCCTCGGCACGCGCGCGTCCCAGGCAACGTTGGCCGCGTGGCTTGATTTCAGAGTTTGGGAAAAGGAGACAGAGCGCAGGGGACGTACGCATCCTGAATCTGGTTGACAGAGGCGCTTTGCTTAAGGCCAAGCACGTCGTAGTAGTCCGACTTCATTGTGTTGGTGGATGGTGAAGCGCAAAGCCCAGCCGACCTCAAATGGTCCCGAAAGCCCAAGCCTCCTCTTTAGCACAATTTCTGTGCACACGCAGTCCCCACCAACCAGCACAGGCGTCCAAAGCGGCAACGGGCAAGAGGCAGTCAGCAGCGGCAGAGCAGTCGAGAAAACTTCAGGCACGAAGGAGAGCCAACTGTAAATGTGTGTGTGTGTGTGTGTGTGTGTGTGTGTGTGTGTTGGTTTCGGTTACCAAGGGAGAATATCAAAGTGTGACACTTATCATAGTTTTATTTGATGTGTCGATTTTGATCGCAATGAAGCCCCAGGTGCTGATACTGCCTCCAATAAAGCCTCAGGTGCTGGTACTGAAGACTCAGGTGCTGGTACTGTCTGCAATGAAGCCTCAGATGCTGGTGCTGGTACTACCTGGACGCACCTCCTCAAGCCAGTCCTGGATCAACAGAGGGGAGGGGCGGGGGCAGAGTGATGAGCAATGTGCAAATTCAGGCAACAGCAGCAGAGCAAATTCGGCTACTCGTTGATACATGTTGGATTGCACGATGGGAAACCCGAGTGAGGACGTACCGGCTCAATGATGCAACAGCCGCGCATAAAGCTCTTGGTTGTTTGAACCAGCTCGTGAAAGAGCAGGCACTGTGGAGCGGGTCGGAGTCCGTGCAGCGATGACGATGGATGGATCCGGACAGATTGATGG